ACTTCACGCATACATTTTCTATCTACATTTGGTGGAGGGGAGTGACTTATATGTATATGTGGGTAGAAAAATGTATGCGTGGAGACAGTATGTTCCGCCCCCCCCCCTTCGGGGGGCTCCACTTCGTTAAAAATAACCCTACCCACCCTATGTCAGAGGTGTGGAGTGGATCTCGCTTCACGTGGAAAGTTGCAAACCCATGTGGAACAGTACAATGGTGGAAGTACATGCGTGGAGACAGTATGTTCCGCCCCCCCTTCGGGGGGCCCCACTTCGTTAAAATATGACCATACCCAAACCATGTCTGAGATGTAGAGTGGATCTCGCTTGCTCGGTCAGTCTGCGCCGCGAGAAGAATTAAGCGTGCGCGCGCGCGCGCGTGTGTGTGTGTTCAACTCGTACCGATTGGTGCGGGAGGGGGCAGGTGTGACCTTGTAAATGAAAACGGTAGTTTGTTTATGATTTTAAAGGTAGCTACACAGGCATTTTAATAAAAATTACTAAGAAAAAGTATAAAAATTTTTAGTTTTCAATTTGTTATATCTCCTAAACCAATGCCGTCCCCCACTTGATTCTTGCGGGGAATTACTCAGAAAACTCTCCCCTACAACATATCTAAGTGGCGAGGAAATCGGTGAGGTGTGACCTATTCTGCATATTTACCATGGCCGGTTTTCGGCGAGAAAGAAATTCCTCGGCTGGCGAGCCCACCGCGGGGCGTTCACTGTTGCGTAAAGGTCGTTCTACATTAGTCGCATCTTAGCGTCGCAAGGATCGCAAATCATAGATTCGGCCAATCAGCGTTGACTTATAACTAGTCTACGACCCTTGCGACGCTAAGATGCGACTAATGTAGAACGACCTTAAGACGCACCTCCACGCGAACAGAGTAATTTAGCGACGGAATGCGTTTGGTTTGAATGTCCTCGGTTGGCTGCAGATGAGCCTGCGGACCCTTCACGCACGTGCCGAGCGTCGCGGCGACGTGCATGCAACGTGAACTCACTTAGCAGGCATTTTGTTATGTGGGTATTTATGTAAAGTATCATGTATATTATACTGTCTGATTATATGTTTGTTTATGAACAAGTTGGCATACCTCGAAGTCAAAGTCAATTTCATCAATTGATATCTTGTGTTTTCTAACATAATTCTGAGCAATCGCTGTAAGAAAAGAATGCGGGAACGAGAACCCTGATATCCAAAACGTAGCAGGTTTTCCATAATCTAACCAGTTTTGCAAGAAGTTTATTCGCTTTATAAGGTCATCCACAAAGCTTGACAATTGTTTCAAACTGGGATAGGTACATACTTTAATCCAGTTGGGTGGAATTTTAGCGTTGAGCATATTACTCGCCATCTCCTGTTATAAGATATATTATTAGATATTATATTAGATATATTATTAGAAATAATGAAGAGATTCAAAAGCTAACTGTGAAAATTACTTTAACCGTAGTTTCATATTTAGAAAAAGTTGAGAAAATTTTCAGAAAGTATTTAAACAGGTGTGCGCTCTCAATACATATAGAGTTTTACGCATAACGATACGCTCAAAGAAGCACAATGAATGTTCTATTCCATTTAAATCACATGATTCTGAGAGTCACTTATAAAATCAGTGAGCAACATTGAATATATTCTGTTGTGTATATTTTTTATTTTATGTATTCCTTATTGTATATATTCGATTCTATAGCATACACGTGCGTGCGTGAAATAGATCGATAAGCCTAACAATAAAAGTACTGATATGTTCTGGCCTGCAAAAAGCTGGCCAGGAAAAGGCTTGAGACTTGTACACTTAAAGAGATCTATAAAAAATTTTATTAAGCCTGATATTCATTGGCCTTTTCTTAAAGGATCAGTTCTTCATTTATACCGTGAGTTACAAATAATATGTCAGTTTTTTTATTTATTTTTTATTAAGTAAAATTGCATATAGTAAATGTCCAGATTTATTGTGTTTCTTACGATGATGGCAAGTTTAAATCGATGTTTTAAATATTGAAATTTTTTTACATTTCTGTTACAATACATAATTGTTTATTAATAAAGTTCGGAATCAGTTGGAACTATTGCTTTACGTTACTGCGGGTGAATATGATGATGCAATTAGAGGGTTGAAGAGAGCTGAGGCTGATATGTCACTTGAAACGGAGGCAGATGATGCTCCACGAAAGAGGAAGCTACCAAGGTAATACATGGACTCTGATGAAGACAATAAAGATGAAAGTAACAATAGGCTGTTTCGAAAAGGAAAAGGTCCTTGCAAGAACAAAGCTAGAAGGCTTTGCGAAAATGATGAAAGCGAAGGAAGTAACAGTTTGCCTGAGATAGATTCCGATATTTTAAATGCAGTTAAAGAAAGCACAATAAATCAAACACAAGATGAAATGAGTAAGAAAGTGACAAGAAGGCAATCTTTCGAGAACGATGTTACGATCAGAATCCTTCAGGAGTTCCAAAACAGTATCAGTGGTGACATTGAGCAAGACGTTTGCAACGATCCACTTTAAACTAATATCGGCAAGAAGAGAAACAGTGGAAAACAGCAGAAAATAGATTATACCAAGCAGAAGAAATTTGTGCTAAGAACAATGCCAAGCAAAAACTAAAAAAAACATTGTTTTGTAATGAAACTTCTTCAGTTCTCTCTCCTATCAAGAACAAAGTGACAAGCAGCAAATTGTCTGAGATTCCTAATCCCTTAATGTCTGAACCAAGTTTTACTAACGCTTGTCAAGTTTCATGTCCGTCTTCTATGCGAATAAATGGTTCTAATAAAACATCTTCATGCTCGGCTGAAAATTTATCAAGTTTATCGACAGAGACCAACATTCCCGATGCATGCTTGAAAGGTTTAGAGGCAGATCAAGATAAAACTAAAAAAATGTTTGTACAGTTGATGAAGAAGAATTACAAGTGGAGCGTCATGACTCTTTCGACTATCAAGATAAAGGTATTTACTTGTGTTTATGGTTCACATAATGGTTTTCACATATTCAGCAAGTAATATTCAGACTCTCAATAAATGTGTTTTTCTATTGGCTTTCAGGCTTTCGC